GCCTGGGTTATCTGAAAAAGTCAATGTTTTAATTGTACAAAATGCATAAGGTTGTGGATTAACTACAACTCACATCATGCCAGATTAACCCCGAGAAACTCCATCAGTACTTAAAGTTTGTTATGTTGGGCAAGTTGGCCCTAGATGCATCATCGGTGGGGTTCAGTGTGCTCTCTGGCTCAGTTCCCTCAAACCCCTCTAGTAGGTTGAATTGGTCATAGAATCATAGATTTTGGAGGCCTTGTGGGCTATGAGAGTTCTCTATGCCAAGTTTTGACCAGACCCATCATCAGTGGAGGTCACCGTTTCCCTGGTTGTGTGTGAATTACAACTCCCAGAAAGCAGTAATCAAATTTTGGCATATCAGGTATGTGTGCCAAGTTTGGTCCACATCTATTGGTGTTTGGGTTCACAGTGCTCCCTGGATTTAGGTGAACGACAGCTCTCCCAAATCAAGGTAAATTTTCCCCAAAGACCTCCAGTATTTTTTGCTGGTCATGTGTTCCAGGTTAGTTACAGGTCCATTGTTGGTGAGGTTCAGAGTGCTCTTAGATTTCAGATGAACTAGACATCCTAGTACCCACAACTCCCATAAATCATGGTGAATTCTCCCCAAACCTCTCTAGTATGTTCAGTTGCTGATCATGCTGTTTGCTCTGTGCCATAGAAAAGAACAGGAAAGGGTTAAGGGTGAGGGAGTGGGAGGGGTCATGCAAATTTCAAACCAATGGAGAGATTCAGAAGCACTGGGATTGTGTAAATGCTATTTTAAATTGTTAGTCGCTTGGAGCACCTTGATGGAGAGCGACTAATTAAGAAATAAAGTGAAGTGAAGTGAAGTGAAGTGAAGTGTATGTCTGTGGTGGAGGAAACACAGAAATTCTAAGATGAAATTGTCCCCGTATGAAAGCCTTCACTTGGGTGGTGGGCACTATGGTGCTTGCGGAGAACATTGCAAGGCTCTTGTACATGATCATGGATATGATAACCTGCAGTGTCACTGGAGGTAGAGCTATTGGTCTCTCCTGAGTAGTGGGAACTATAGCTGTTTGTGGAGGCAGGAGCTTGTCTAAGTGGACACCCCAGCCACACATACACATGCATATTTTCACTTTTATTATGTGTATAGATGTATGTCCTGCAATTCCACAAGGAATCATACCATACAGGAAATTACAACACTGATCTATCAGTTCAAATAATTAAAGCCAGTTAAATAGTTTAAAATGAAGAGCGGATAAATAAGCACAAAAAGCATGCATTTCTATATATTTGGTAAGATAGTAATAAAAGAAAGCATTCAAATAGATCTATTTCTGAAAAAAAGAAAGACTAGTCATATACAATTTCCTTACTCGGGATACCGGTGTCCTTCAATTATTTAGCTTTCCAGTTGTTGCTAGACTACAACCTACATAATTCCTAACCAATGGCTATGCCAACTAAGGCTGATGGGCTATGAACTTCAACATCTTAAGAACTATAGTTTCTCAGCTTTCCAGCCATTTTCGTATGAAGGGGAAGGGAAATAGACATGAGATCAGATGTATAAAGGCAAATTGCCCCCACTCCAACCCTAGGCATGACTTGTCATTAGCTCAGATTTAATCAAACTCAGAAATCTAAGTCAACAGACTCTTATAAGAATATCAATGCATTCCACTTAGATTCTCCTTTACCTGTTATATCTAAAGGGAGCTTTTCCTCAACCACAGTTGCTATTAGATTCCAACTCCTATCATCCCTGATAACTAATCAGGCTGACTTGTAGTGATCGTGGGCACTGTTGTCCAACATCTGGGAGCCAAGGGAAAAGATTGCCTTAAGAGTCCATAGTCAGCGACAAAACCTTTTCTCATACTTGGGCATATACATCCCTCAACAAAACTGATACTGTAGCTGAATATAGGCACATATAACAAAAAAATATGAAAAAAAACCACAGCATTCTGTTAAGCATACCTCAATTCTTCATACTGACCATGGTTTTCCATTTTGCCTTTTTTTAATCCATTGCAACCCACAGAACATCCACATACAGCATAGCATATCAACTTTCCTGGCACAGAAAGTGGCAGCTCTTACTTAACACTTTCTTCATAGCATATTATGTTCTCTCTGGAACAAAAGGTTATGTTGCTTTCTGCCCTATGGAAACAGACTTCCAGAATATCTCTAAGGTTCATCTCATTCAGGTTGGTTAAATTCTTACCAACAGCTCAGTACATCAGAAGAAATACTTAATTTTTACTGAAAAACTAAAAAGAAGAAACTGCTGGATCTTCTGCTAATGTTAAGTAATGTCTGGCTAATGCCCACATTACTTACAGCTTCCAACATCTTCAGGAGCACATATTTTATGTATTGTTCTTAATTGCCATCACATTGGCTTTGACTTAAGGTGACCGCCATGAAAACCTGCTAAGATCTTCCAAACTCAGGATTATGGCTTGCATGATTGGGTCAATTTACATATAATGCGGCCCTTCTCTTTTTGTTCTGCATTCCACTTTATCAAGTGTTGTTGTCTTTTTATAATAATAACATCTCTTATTTTGTCCAAAGTGTCAGTTTAGTCATTTTGACTTCTTGGAAGAGTTCAGCCTTGCTTTGTATTTAGAAAGATTTAATAATCTTTTTGACAGTTCATAGTACCCTCAGAAATTTCTTCCGGTACCACATTCCAAATGAGCTTAATCTCTACCAGCCAACTGTCTTCCAGCTGTCCAACTTTAACAAATCAGAAGTCCCACAGCACGGATGAACTCAAATTTGGCATTTGCCCACCCACAATGGAATAATGAGACAAGGCAACTGTGTTGGAATAACTATGCACAACTTTTATCAAATAGTTACCTATTTAAACTTTCTTCATGAACTGCAACCAACTGAACTTGATGTTGGATAAGCTGAGACAGTGGCCCTTCAAGACACACTTCTCAGCTAACTTAGGCGAGACACCCGAGTTCCCCACGTAACCAGGGCACTGTTTAGGGAAGCTGCACAGAGTGTTCAAACCCCAGTTAAGAGATTTCAAGGGTTTGAATTCCCATGCAGCTCCAAGGCCATTTCTGTTCATCCCCACATCAGTTGACTGAACTCACAGGTAGAGGTTCCTGTTCCTGGTCTTCACAAAAATGGGTGCCTTAAGTGCACACCGAAATGTTAAATTACATCCCCATTTCTTGCCACAGATTAAGCTTCAATGCAGGAGCCAAAGGAACAGCAACCTGATGAACAGGCTCTACCCACTATAACTAGTCCCGGGAGTGAATCCTTTCAAGAGGCTTCACTGGGGTGGTAAATAGCCCTCCCTTCCCAGGCTTGCAGAAAAGGGAAACCAAATTAATGATATACAATGATATAAGTTATTTTGGAGATATGTGTTTACAACTTGAGAGCTCACATGACAAAGTGCTCTGGCAATCATTCACATTGTTAATGATAGGCATAGTTTGATGCAGTAGCTTTAGTGATGCACGGTCAGCGTTCCCATAATGGCTCCCTGTAAGACTGATAGAATGGGTAGACAATTGCTCTGGAGTATTTGGGATGAGTGAGATTTTTGTTTCAGTTTGGTTTTGAGCAGAATTTACCAGAATTTACAAAACATAAATTAACCTATTTCTAAGTTATCAGTCTGCCCTCTAAGTAAAAATCAAAACATTCAGATTTGAGATGGAATCAGTGCTGTCAGATTTCTAGGGTTAGCTTAGTCCCTACTGATGTGTTAACTGGCATGCATAGGGTCTCTTGAGGAAAGGGCATTTAGATCAGGGATGTCAAAGGTCTTCAAAGGGTCATTGAATCAATGAACAGAAAATCCATGGACACAGAGGGCCAACTATGATTTATTTGTTTCACATAGCAGTTGGTGCTCTTTAGCTTTTAACCAACTTGGGTCATTGAATGACAACTCCTATCACTTTTAATTATCCACCATGTGGACTGGGAGTTATGGGAATTGCAACCCAAGAGTCCCCTTTGGGGTTGAGAAGGGAGGGATACAAATGTGGTAAATAAATAAATAAACTTGGGGCTCTGAGGTTGTGGAAAGGTTAAAGGACATTTTAAAGTCCCACATGCTATCTACAAGCCTTGTATCTAAATTCAAACCCCACTATCCTGATTAAACAGAACAAACTGCAGCCTTCCAGATGTTACTATATCACAATTTGCATCAGCTCTAGTCATGATGTCTAATGATGATGAAGACAGGAATTGTAGTTCAGCATCTATAGGGCCACATAAAATGACATGGTGGTGGACTTGGCTATGAGCTTTGAGTTTGGCATGCGATTTTTCTGAAATGCGGTAGAGAAATTCTGCACTAGTGTAAGCTAATGAGCAGTTTGGAGTGTTCTATAATGAGTATTCAAAATATCACAAGGAACCTCTATGTAAAGAGGAAGTAGTATTCTATAGAAATGTTGTTGAATAAGGCAATAGAAATGGTGTGGGCAGAAAGAATGGTGTGATTTTCAGATGAGACCTAAACACATGTCCCTGCAACACCTTTCAACATGGATTCAAGTGAGTAAGATGTGAAGGGTACAGTCAGTACTTTGTGCAAAATAAGGAGAGAATAAATCTTCTTCCACTGAGCAGGAAAGATCAAATTCTAAATAACATGCCAGCAATCAGTATTGTTTATTCACCTGTCAGTCAACAAAAAGCTAAAAGGGCTGGCATTTAGATGATAAATGACATCTATAAAGGGAGATGAAAGAGAAGCTGTCAAAACGGCTGCTAAATGTTCAAGTCATCTTCTTTACTAATATCTAATCGAGGGGAAACAACAAGGCTAGCCTATTTTTAATCCATAACTACTTTTTGTAGAGACAAAGCAATATGAGATCCAACCTTGAATATAATATATAGAATTATTTCTTGCTTTATGTCATAGGAGCATGTATAACACTGTCAAAAATAATCACTTCTTTTGCTTATTAACTTGCATAATATCGTACATTTGCTTTAAGCTAATTTTGTCTCCTCACCTTTTAGAGTTGCCTTCTTGAGTACCTTCATTGCATACAACTGCCCAGCATCAGATCCTTTAATCTTCCTCACTAGAAAGACCTTTAGGAAAAAAGTATCAAAAAGCAATCAAGTAATGCATGTTTAAATTAATTGTATTCAGACTTAACACCACTTTTTCAAGGCTGAAATGTACTAATTTGGGCCTCTGAAACTCTAATGTATGAGGCAGGAAATCCCTGTGCACCACACAGCCTTACTTAGCCTTGTTCACTACAGAGACACAGGTTTAAAATGTTCAATACTAGTCATTTGTCAGCTGCTCCCTGTAATACTGAGTAATACTACATTTGGTTAATTCTCCCCAAAACAGATGAGTCAAAATAAGGAACACTATGTGCTATTTAAGAGCACACGAAAACAGTTATCAAACCCACAGGAAAATACAACAAATGAACATGTACTGTATTGCAAAACATGACTATTCTTTTATTATTCATAAAGGGAACCACCATCTGTAGCATAGTTTGTTATAATTTTGGAAATACAGTGGAAAGACGGCAAGCATCTTTAATATATATCTAAATATAGATCTCTATCTATCCAATCCATCTATCTATTTATCTTTGCTGTGTGCCTCTAAATAATTTCTGATTGGCTCCATTATGGGGTTTTATTGACATGCTGATTTCAGATGGCAAAGTAACAATTTACACATCAAAAATACTGCTACAGATAAAAAGTATTGTTGTGATGTTATGTAACTGTTTATATTAGCTACTCCTTTGGTATTTAAAATAGTTTGTTATTAGAATTCAACAGTAGTAGTTGAGTAACCTAATGATGTGTTTTTAAGCTGCTTCTAGGTCATACATGCCTTTGTTTTAAATTAATTTTATTGCTGATAGCCCCCTTGACTGCTATTATTTTGACAGGACAGGACATATTATTATGTGAATATAAAACAATTACCTTCCCATAAGAGCCTTGCCCCAGAACTTTCAGCAGCTCAAACTGTGATGGGTCTGCTTTTTCAAAACCTTCCTTTACATGGTGGCTGATGTCAATCTCCTTCACAATGCCTTCTTCCTGTGAGTAAGTAAAGAACAAAACAATGTTTAGTTCTTGGCCTAGTTAACAAATGATATCAGTCACCTTGATTCCATTTTCACCTGTAGACCAAGAATCATACCTATAAAAACTATCACATTTCCACTTTCATCTACTGCAAATCTTTTCTTTTCATATATCAACATATTGAATCCTGTTATGATTTTGCATCTGCTTCTGAAATGTAGTGCCATCTTCCTAGATTTCTTTAGAAAGAGAAAACCTGTAAATATAGCCCGAAAAAACCCACAAGAACAAAACACAGCACTTGCTTCCTGAAGCAGCTGGGTTCAACATACCAGTTCATTATAGATCTCATTAAAGAAGTGTGTGTGAAGAACAGGCTCAATAGTATCTTTAAGCCTACATACCTCATTTCATTGCATATTGGTATTTTGCTCTTCCCTGCATAATAGCTGCACCCTTAATTCACTTGCCGGGAGAGCGAATTAAGGGTGTAACTGCCCTTTTGGCTCTGAGGGGCTTGACTCAGCTGGGAGTTTGAGGCTGTGGTGGCCACAAAATACACACTGGCAATGTGTGCTGCAACACCCATCAGTGACAATACGGCAATGTTAAAAAGCTCACTGGAAATTCCAACTCAAGCGAAAAAATGCACTGCAGAAGATGACAGGGTATCCCAGATCTAGGGTGAAATCAGCTTTGAAAAATGTGGAGCACATTGCAGACACCCACCCCTTCTGTAGGACAGTAAAATATCTTGAACAGAGACTGCCAAAAATGCATGAGTGGGCTGCAGGGTGCTGATCTATTCCCTAGGGGAGGGAATTGATGACCTTCTCTGCTGTCATTTTCCCTTTCCCCCCTTTATATGTCACTGGTGCACAGTTTTCTAGGAAATTTGGGTGGAGGGAAGGGAAGGATATAAATTGGTAGGAGGCCAGGTTTTGTGTTAAATGTAATCACCCATGTAGCCACAAACCTGTTTAGAACCTATTAATCTAATCAACTCACAGTGAAATAGGTTCCTTTTGAACCAGCTCCAAATTGGATTATAGTGCCACTGCAGAAGTGCCCTAGATCCTCTAGTGTGATACTCTTTCAACCATGGAAATTCACCCCAGAATCATGCTGGAGTACCTAGAGAACTACTTCTGAGCTTTAAAACAGCTTTTCACACTTTTGTGGGGTTCTTGTGCCCTTAACTCCAGAGAATTATAGGGGGGGGGGGGCACTGCATGTGGAAATAAACTTCATTAAATTAAGTGAGTTATTCTATCTGAAAATTGTTTCCAAAATTCTATTTCTACAATTGTCGCACATGTAATACTATACTTCCATTTTTAAAGGAGGAAACTACTGATTATAAAGAGATGACCGCGAGAGAAAATTGTATTTATAGTATCTCTACATGATGTGCAGAAAAAAAGAATGAGATGTTGCCTAGATAGCTGGCTCTTAATCCAAAGAGATTTGCAAATTACACAGGTCATCAGAAAAGGAGAAAGACGCCACTCCATGCTATCTGGCAGAATTCCCAGATATTACTTCAGCAGCACCCACATCCCCACAGCAATATGTAAAACACAGAGGATGAGACTGCTTTCCTTTTACCCGCTGTCTTAAAAATGCCAACTTTTCTGTTCCTGAATCAGTTGATGATATACATTCCATTTTGCTGGTCTTATTCCAACCACTGCAATGTTATAGGCGAAAGGGAAATAGTACTTTAAAGAACAAAGTACTGTAGAACAAAAACACTTGTCATGTGGAAAAGTTCCCAGATGAAGTTTACTTTATCTCATTCTGGCCTGATTAAAAGTACATACATTTTTTAAAAATAACGTGGGGAGGACTTGATCCAACTTGTGTCCTACTTCAGGAAAAAGGCAGTGTATAAATGAAAGTAAATAAATAAACAAATCAGAATTCAGATGCATCTACAGTATGTGCAGATTCATAGAAACTCCAGATTAATATTTGTTTACAACCAATTAAAAAAATCTTACTCTGAATTTTTTAGAGATAGCAGTCTACTGAATATCCCCTTTGGGTTGAGAAGGATAGGCTATAAATACAGTAAATACTCTGGAGAAGAAGGGGTGGAGCAGTGGTTCCTCAACTTATTTGGCCTACCCCCTAGAAATCATTTTTTTAGAATCTTCTCTTCTTTCTTTTATGCTTTCACCGCCCCCCTTACAGTTATTCATTGCCCCCAAATGCACCTGTGGCCATTACACCCCCCCTAAATCGCTGCAAATGTGAGTAGATCAATAGGTACCGCTCCGGCGGGAAGGTAACGGCGCTCCATGCAGTCATGCCGACCACATGACCTTGGAGGTGTCTACGGACAACGCTGGCTCTTCGGCTTAGAAATGGAGATGAGCACCACACCCCAGAGTCAGACATGACTGGACTTAATGTCAGGGGACTACCTTTACCTTAAATCGCTGCAGCGCCCACCAGGTGGCAGTAATACCCACTTTGGGAATCACTGGGGTGGAGTCTTATCCTTCCTAAGGGCCCTTCCACACAGCGCAATACCCCAGAATTTCAAGGCAGAAAATCCCACATTATTTGAGTGTGGACTCATATAACCCAGTTCAAAGTAGATATTGTGGGATTTTCTGCCTTGTTATTCTGGGATATAGGACTGTATGGAAGGGCCGTATGACACAACATACGTAAACCAAGGTCTGGTGAAGAGCTAAGGATCTCTGAGTACAAAGCTGTGTTAGCAGGCAAACTTTAAACCACATCTGCTCAATATTGCTCGGACTAAGAGGAAGATGAAACTTCTCTCCCAGCAGCCAAGCTAAGTTGGAATAAAGGCTTAAATGTCATCTCCATCTATTATTCTTTTAACATCACCAGATAGGAAGGATGCTAAACCCCTCTCTTCCATCTACAGGAGCAAATCCAGCTTCAAGTGCAGGTTTTCAACTTTCTCCCCAGCCCCACTGATTGTTGTAATGTTTAAAATGTTAGTTTTCTATATTCTTCCTAATTTATTATCTACAAATAAAAGCCACACTCTTTTTACTATCCTGCGATTTTGCTCTGCCACTCCCATGCTATTTTGTGGGTGATTCAGTGGGTTAAACCACTGAACTGCTGAACTTGCTGACTGAAAGGTTGGCAGTTCAAATTCAGGGAGCGGGGTGAGCTCCCACTGTTAGGCCCAACTTCTGCCAACTTCTGCCAACTTAGCAGTTTGAAAGCATGCAAATGTGAGGAGATTAATATATACTGCTTTGGCAGGAAGGTAACGGCACTCCATGCAGTCATGCCAGCCACATGACCTTGGAGGTGTCTCCAGACAACGAAGGCTCTTCAGCTTAGAAATGGAGATGAGCACCACCATCCCTGAGTCAGACATGACTAGACTTAATGTAAGAGAAAACCTTTACCTTTACACTATTTTTAAACAGCATCTAAAAAGTTAGCAATGCAACAAAAAGCATTCCAAGATGATTTCTTAACAAAGAACTGCATAAAATGCAAGGGTACATGTCTATGTGAGAGAGGGAGGGAGAAGAAAAGGGAGAGACAGAGAGAGCACTGTGTCTTTTACATTGTGTCTATCAGCAACTTCCTAGGCAATGGGACAGCTCTGACCTGAATTCCAGTGACTTGGAGTGATCAACAGCCCTCAGAGACTGCAAGATGCACACCTTTAGCTGCTTTCGGGTTTATACAGAGGCCAAGAGCATCAACCAGAGGGACCCAAGGTCACTCTGCAAAAGCTGGCACGAATAACTAGCACACATAAAGTCTAGAGCTCAGCCCCAGCAAGTGTTTTCAGAGCCAAAGTCTAAATATTCCAGTAGATCACAGATACTTTCAACATGTTTATGTAACTCAGTTGATTTATGCAGCTGTTTTTGCATGTGAAGCCATTTAGCTAATTGCCTTAACCCAGAAGTTTTGTCAAGGCAGTATTTGGATTTATAATAGTCCATTACAAACTGTTGCAAAATATCTTGTACGGCAATGCTCAGTCTCTCAGTCTTTTAAATTATTAGGCAAAGTAAACAAAAACAGGAAAGCTGAAACTGAATTATAGAAAACATGCCTGGTGGCAGTTGAAATTTGGTTGTGCATCATGCTGTGAAAGATTCCCCTGTCCCTCATCTTGACAGTTTTGTCAAGAGTGTATCATTAAAAAGAAAAGTACTTGATTGATACAGTCTCTGACTAATTAGATCTCAAGGAGCTTGGCTTACGATTTGACCATTATTCATCCTGAAATCAAATTTGCCATGTTAGTTGGTTTCAATACAAAAAGGGGGGAGCAAACTGTTTCAGTACAAAAAGGGGGAGCAGATTTGGTTTTGGTAGAAAAAGGGGGAGCAGACTAAATGGACTAATTGATTTATTTTAGCATGAGTAGATACACCGATGGTGTATCTACTCATATTAAAGTCACTGAAATTTAAAATTAAAATCACTCAATATTAAAATCACTGAAATTTAAAGAGGGCAACATAGTTTTGGGATATGATTGTAATAACATAAAGGAAGATGCATATTATGATTGGCCCTAAATCTTGAAAGGGTTGATGATATTAGTCTGTCAGGCAATTGCCTGCTAGTCTCTTTATATTGTATTAAGCATCAATTCCCTAATCAATGAGTTGGATCAGACAAAAGGATTTATGGGTAAGGCTTTCTGAAGTCCACTGTTAAGATGTCAATTTTCTAATATTTCCCATTGACTGAATAGAGTTAATCAATATGGCAAAAGTGATCATTTTTATTGGATTGTAAAGAATAGTTTTCCTCCCCCTGACACCATCAACGCACTTCATGGTGAAATGTATGGTCATTTGCATTTTATGTGCAGAAAATGTGCATTTTGCACAAATATACTTTTTAAAACAAAACATAACTGTGTAATCTATTTGGGGTACAAACCCTCATTTTTTAAAAAGTCTTTTCCTGAAAAAATGAATTTTTAAAGACCGCACCTTCTAGAGACCAGGGTTCAAATCCCTGCTTAGCCATGGAAACCCACT